CCCCCCCCTGCCCCAGGCCCCGCCCCGCCTGACCCCCAACAACCCCCCCCCACACACCCTGCCCAGACACCAGGACACCCCACCCTGACCCCCAACAACCCCACACACACACCCTGCCCCAGACACCAGGCCAGTCCCCTACTCCACACACACCCTGCCCCAGGCACCGCACCGCCTGACCCCCAACAACCCCACACACACCCTGCCCAGACACCAGGACACCCCACCCTGACCCCCAACAACCCCACACACACACCCTGCCCCAGACACCAGGCCAGTCCCCTACTCCACACACACCCTGCCCCAGGCACCGCACCGCCTGACCCCCAACAACCCCACACACACCCTGCCCAGACACCAGGACACCCCACCCTGACCCCCAACAACCCCACACACACACCCTGCCCCAGACACCAGGCCAGTCCCCTACTCCACACACACCCTGCCCCAGGCACCGCACCGCCTGACCCCCAACAACCCCACACACACCCTGCCCAGACACCAGGACACCCCACCCTGACCCCCAACAACCCCACACACACACCCTGCCCCAGACACCAGGCCAGTCCCCTACTCCACACACACCCTGCCCCAGGCACCGCACCGCCTGACCCCCAACAACCCCACACACACCCTGCCCAGACACCAGGACACCCCACCCTGACCCCCAACAACCCCACACACACACCCTGCCCCAGACACCAGGCCAGTCCCCTACTCCACACACACCCTGCCCCAGGCACCGCACCGCCTGACCCCCAACAACCCCACACACACCCTGCCCAGACACCAGGACACCCCACCCTGACCCCCAACAACCCCACACACACACCCTGCCCCAGACACCAGGCCAGTCCCCTACTCCACACACACCCTGCCCCAGGCACCGCACCGCCTGACCCCCAACAACCCCACACACACCCTGCCCAGACACCAGGACACCCCACCCTGACCCCCAACAACCCCACACACACACCCTGCCCCAGACACCAGGCCAGTCCCCTACTCCACACACACCCTGCCCCAGGCACCGCACCGCCTGACCCCCAACAACCCCACACACACCCTGCCCAGACACCAGGACACCCCACCCTGACCCCCAACAACCCCACACACACACCCTGCCCCAGACACCAGGCCAGTCCCCTACTCCACACACACCCTGCCCCAGGCACCGCACCGCCTGACCCCCAACAACCCCACACACACCCTGCCCAGACACCAGGACACCCCACCCTGACCCCCAACAACCCCACACACACACCCTGCCCCAGACACCAGGCCAGTCCCCTACTCCACACACACCCTGCCCCAGGCACCGCACCGCCTGACCCCCAACAACCCCACACACACCCTGCCCAGACACCAGGACACCCCACCCTGACCCCCAACAACCCCACACACACACCCTGCCCCAGACACCAGGCCAGTCCCCTACTCCACACACACCCTGCCCCAGGCACCGCACCGCCTGACCCCCAACAACCCCACACACACCCTGCCCAGACACCAGGACACCCCACCCTGACCCCCAACAACCCCACACACACACCCTGCCCCAGACACCAGGCCAGTCCCCTACTCCACACACACCCTGCCCCAGGCACCGCACCGCCTGACCCCCAACAACCCCACACACACCCTGCCCAGACACCAGGACACCCCACCCTGACCCCCAACAACCCCACACACACACCCTGCCCCAGACACCAGGCCAGTCCCCTACTCCACACACACCCTGCCCCAGGCACCGCACCGCCTGACCCCCAACAACCCCACACACACCCTGCCCAGACACCAGGACACCCCACCCTGACCCCCAACAACCCCACACACACACCCTGCCCCAGACACCAGGCCAGTCCCCTACTCCACACACACCCTGCCCCAGGCACCGCACCGCCTGACCCCCAACAACCCCACACACACCCTGCCCAGACACCAGGACACCCCACCCTGACCCCCAACAACCCCACACACACACCCTGCCCCAGACACCAGGCCAGTCCCCTACTCCACACACACCCTGCCCCAGGCACCGCACCGCCTGACCCCCAACAACCCCACACACACCCTGCCCAGACACCAGGACACCCCACCCTGACCCCCAACAACCCCACACACACACCCTGCCCCAGACACCAGGCCAGTCCCCTACTCCACACACACCCTGCCCCAGGCACCGCACCGCCTGACCCCCAACAACCCCACACACACCCTGCCCAGACACCAGGACACCCCACCCTGACCCCCAACAACCCCACACACACACCCTGCCCCAGACACCAGGCCAGTCCCCTACTCCACACACACCCTGCCCCAGGCACCGCACCGCCTGACCCCCAACAACCCCACACACACCCTGCCCAGACACCAGGACACCCCACCCTGACCCCCAACAACCCCACACACACACCCTGCCCCAGACACCAGGCCAGTCC